TAGTTTTCATTAGAAAAAAAAACTTTTCAAGGCCGCTGCTGATGGATGATACTGGATGGGTAGTGGACGAAGCTACGGGAATAGTGCCGCATCTGCTTCCACCGCCCCTTCTCACTGACCAAGACCTTGTACCTCTCGGTGACGAATGGCAAAATGCTGTTCCTGGCAGAGATCTTATCAAGAAGGTACTCTAGTTTATTACTTTCTTATTCATTCACATATTTGGCATTAATAGACTGATGGGACCTTTGAGCCGTTTTCATCACCTTGGACTACGCGACAAATTGTCCCGCCTTTGTCGATAAACGACCGGAATTTTTGGGCAAAGGTATTACATTTTACACTTGCTTAGTACATGAGAGTACATTACGGACACGTGCTTAGTGCATGAGAGTACATTACGGAATCGCTATGTAAGGTACGAGTTAGAAATTATGCATATTTATGGCTTCTGACTGACCTTAGCAAAACACTGTGCAAAGAATACATTACATACAGTACAAAGGCAACCAAAACACTATTGGGTGCTTTGGTTGCCTTTGTGCTGTTCCCAATGTTAGCTTTCGCTGAAACAGCGTCCGGATGGCGCGACAAGAATGGTAGAGCTATGATTCTTGAAAGACGCTATCATCATTTGAGCACAGCTTATATGGACATCCTTGTTTCTATCTTAAAAAGAGCAATGAAAAGGACACCATATTCTAGCTTCCATTAGTGGATGAACCATAGTGCACGAGTTGTTGCCATTATCCACCTTTTTTTTCAGGAGGCTGAGGCTATAGCTGATCAAGAAACCTACGAATATATTATTGAATCGACAAAAGAACCCGAACCTGAGCCGGAACCTGTAGAAATCTTTGTTCCGCTGAACGAAAACCACAGTATGTTTTTATTCAGTACTCCCCTTCCATGCACTTAAAGGCTGTCCGGGCAGAAAATCGAGTTTTAGATTTCACACTGAAGAGCGCGAAAATGGCGATAAAGTTCTCTAACGCCGGAGGGGAACTAGAAGGTGGGCGGGGTGCACACTGTGACGTCACTCT